TCTGTTTGTGAGAGCTCCAGAATTATTGGAGCCTCCTGACAATTTTTTGAGTAGTCCAGAGATGGCATTCAGGGTCTTCTGCAAAACTCACAGCTTATCCAGAGAAGCAAGACCTGCACCCTAAGTCTAACTCAGAACAAGCTCACTCCCTCTCTCCAGAGGAGAGCTTACTATAAGCTCTCCTTATCTCTGAGTGGTGGGATTGGGTGGTTTTTACTTTTTTCTTTATATTTTTGCCTGTCATTTGAATTTTCTATAGGCTTATATATCATCTTTACAAAAACAAACGAACAACCAGTGAATCTATTTTCATTTTGGAGACAAACCTTGAATGCCCTAAAATAAAAATGCAAACTTCTCAGAACTGTGTCCCTTTAAAAGAGGTATGATGTTGGAGCTGGCCACCCCACCTTGGTCACTCAGGGGAAGATGCCTTTGTTAGATGTGCAGTAGAGACAGCTCTCCCTGACGGGTGAATTAGGCTAGGACGACGTCTGACGGCGATAGTCCCTGAATTCTGGAGCCAGGGCTGTGCCCATCTGGGAGGAGCTGATGAGTACAGTGTGACTTGGCTTCTAGCTTCGTTTGTTGGGTGTTTTCTTTAGGAGTGCTTCTAAGGAAATCACTTCTTTTGGGTGTGGCCCTGGGCCTTCTTGGATGGACCACAGGGCTCAGTCTCCTGCGCATCAACATGGGGGATGCTATAGAGGCCTTGGTGTTACAACCTGGGGGTCACAGGATGTAAAGAGAGGGGTTCCTATGTGTAAGCCTCACATGCATTCCTGGAATATCCCTCCTGAGAGCTCAGCCCATCCTGGGGGTGAGGCTGGGGGCTACTTCTTCCTTGTATCGGTCCAGTCTTTGGGCATAGGACCATTTTACCCACACTGCCCTTGGCAAGGTGGAGCTGAACATGAGCCAGTGGAGTGGGCTCTGGCTCTGCTTTTAGTCCCCTGGTTTGCTGCAGTTTACAGCATTCTACTCCTATCTGCCAATTCAGTTCCTGAAGTTGAAGTTGTTCCTTAGGAAGCCAAAGGGCAGAGTGAGATCAGAGAGAGAGGTCTTGAAGGTAGATGTCCATTGTAACTGCAAGCCTCTCAGGGCTATTCCAGGGCCTGAAACCACATCTGAGGCAGAGCTTTGGTATTTTCAGAGGAGAAGGGAGCCCAGGGGTGGGCAGCGAGCAGCTGTTCAGATTCTTTTGGGGCTTAGTCCAGCTGAGGCTCTGGTCTGTATGGGCAAGGGCTGCTCTCTGCCTTTGCCTTGTTAGGCAGACTCTCCAGACCTGAACTGAGGTTAACTGAACTGGCTGAGGTTGTAAAAACTGCTTCATTGTCTGAAACTTTATTAAGGCTATAAATCTTCAGGCCTTTAAAAATATTAGATGTGTGATTAATACTACCATTATTCTTAATTAGAATGTTTACTTGTACTTAAAATCCCGTGGAGTCTTTTTGCAACTGGGCATCATTGATCAATAATCTACAGTTGCTTATGAAAGGCCCAACCTGGGCCCCAGCCCAGAGCTGGATGCTCTGTGGAGCATAAAAGAGTCACATGAGATGAGCTTTGCCCTCAAGGAGTTCCCCCACTGAAAGCAATTAGAGAACAATTTGCTTCCATACCAGTGGTGTCTTAAGGGGGCTTATCTTTCTGAGGGTGGTGGTTACTTTCACACAGGTCAGCCTTCTGGGTTGGTTGGGGTTACCACCGGGGAATATTCTCTGGTACCCAAAATGGATTGAATGGCCATTTGGGAGGAGGGAGGAGGTGGCAACAATGTCATATCATCTTTCATTACTTCACTTGTCTCCCCTTGACACTGCTTCTCTAAGCACCTATACTCTTTAGAGAAGGTAGCCACCTACCCACAGAATATGAACCCCAGTGACTGTCACTCTACCATTATAGCTCCATTCCTCTGAGTCTAAGGCTTTTGCATTTCTACTTAGAGTCCCCCCCTTTTTTTTTTTTAATTTTATTTTTCCCCCAAAGCCCCAGTAGATAGTTGTATGTCATAGTTGCACATCCTTCTAGTTGCTGTATGCGGGACGTGGCCTCAGCATGGCTGGAGAAGCGGTGCGTCGGTGCGCGCCCGGGATCCGAACCCGGGCCGCCAGCAGCAGAGCGCACGCACTTAACCACTAAGCCATGGGGCCGGCCCAGAGTCCCCTTTTAAAATATTTACAACCCCTGGGAGAGGTCAGACTAGTAGCAGTTCATCACCAAACAGTAGCTCTAATTACCAGGAATTAATTAAGTCAGCTGAGAGAAAGACTGGGACCCAGGCAGACACTTGGGGACAAGGGTGTCCGAAGGGACACACTCCTGCAGGGCAGGAGACTTTTTTTTTTTTTTTTTGTGAGGAGGACCAGCCCTGAGCTAACATCCAATGCCAATCCTCCTCTTTTTGCTGAGGAAGACTGGCCCTGGGCTAACATCCATGCCCATCTTCCTCTACTTTATATGGGATGCTGCCACAGCATGGCTTAACAAGCGGTGCGTCGGTGTGCACCCGGGATCCGAACCGGCGAACCCCGGGCCGCCGCAGTGGAATGTGCGCACTTAACTGCTTGCGCCACCGGGCTGGCCCCATGCAGGGCAGGAGAGAAGCAAGGGCAGCAAAAGAAATTTTCATGCACATTAGTTGCTGCAGGTGCTGCTAACTCTGGGGCCACCCTGGTGGTCCTGCTGGCTGGGGCATAGGATACAGCATGACCTAGCACTGGTACAGGGGGCTTTGAGGCAGAGATAGAATTTGGGCTTAAATGGTTGGGAAGATTGTTTTTCCTTCATTTAAAAAATAATATATGCTTGGTTTAGGAAGTTTTGAAACATTCAAGAAGAAAACAAATTCTTCATAATTTTACTACCTAATGATAGATGGCTGAAGTGTACAGGCGGAGGGGAGTGATCCTTTTACAATGGAAGTCAGCATGTCACTCCTCTACCCCAAGTCCTTCTTTAGCCTTCCATCTGAGAGCTAAAGTTGGTTCTTGCAGTGGCCCTCCATTATCTGCCTCCCACCCCTGTCTCCTATGATCCCTCTGCTCTGGTTTGGGGTCCTTGAATGCACCAAGCATTCCTTCCCTGCGTCAGGGCCTTTCTACTTGTTCTTTCCTCTGCCTAAAACCTCTTCTCCCCTGTATTCACGTGGCTTGCTCTCTCACGTCCTTCAGAATTGAGAGTATAGTCTCTCCAATTTCTGATTTCAGTTGAGGAACTCCTGTTGAGAAAGGCTATATTGAATCTACTTGTTTGTGTCTGTCTGTCTCCTTCTGGGGGAATGTCAGGACTGTGTGGGCAGGGACTTAGTCTGTTCTGTTCACTGTGGTATCCACCAGCGACTAGAACAAGGCCTGGCACATAGTGGGTGCTCAGTCATTATTATCTAATGAATGAATGCACATGCATGCATGTGTGTAGTGTGTGTGTGTTGTGGAAATGGAATGGGAAAGGACCCCGTAGCTAGAAGCTGTAGGGGGAGAGAATGGATGGGAGGGGTATGGAGAGTGAGGATGCTCTTGGCAGGAATGGTGGCTGGAGATGTGGTCCAGAACTGTTCCAGCCTGTACAATTCATCTCTTACTGATGCTGTTGAAGGGGAAGGCAGTGATTTGGTGCTTTGAGGCAGGTGAAGAAACAGCTGCTGAAATATAAAATCAGTGGACTTGGTCTAGGCCTAGATTACAGAGTTTCTCAAAAGCCTGGCCTGAGGGTTGGAGTTGATATAGTACATTATAGGAAACTTTATGTTTGTGAGCAGAGTGAGTGACCTGATGAAAGTGGTGTTTGGGGAAGATTGGTCTTAGGGAGACATGCAGGATGATTGTGGTGGGAGACCAGAGGTGGCAAGGAAAGAGGTAACAAAGACAGAGATGGAGACGTGGAGCCGAACAGATGACATCAGTGAGACTTGGTAATGGCAGGATGCTCTCCAACTGCTGTGTGGCTACCTTAACAAAGGTTTCCAGTGCTCCCAACTTGGTAGAGCTTAAAGTATTGTCAGTGGCTTCAGATGAGTTTTGGAAGCAGGTGGGGTATAAGTAGGAGAAACGGAAAGGGAGAGTCCTCCTGAGGTTCGCCAGGTTGATGGGTCTGTGGTGAGGGTGCTGTCATATCCTACACTGGGCCTCCATCTCACAGACCTAACCCGGGATAGGAGCCTGTCTGTTCTTTCTGGTCTGCTGAAAACTGTCTCCTTTCCAAGAGTAGCTGGCAGTGCTCTCGGGTTTTCTTCTGAACCTGCACATATATCAGGGTGGTATCTAAAATCCATTTGTTCCATCACCTTCTTTCAACTTCATTTTCTATCTCCATAGTTTTATCTGTTTCTCAGAACAAATTGTCTTTGACTCACAAACCCACTTAGATTGGATTAATTGACTGGAAATACTTATGTCTAAATGGTTTCTGTTTCATTAGGCTTCTACCCTGTTTTTAAAAAGGCTTTTGCCAGGATGAGATCAGCGAAGTGATTTTGGTATAATCAGCTTCTTTATGATCTTTTGGTACAAGTTATGTTTTGAGATTGACGTTTCAGATGTATTCATTTCTAGAATAAATATTTGAGTGCCTGCTGTGTGCCAGGCACTATTCTAGGCACTGAGAATATAATGGGGAATAAAGTAAACAGAAATCTCACCTTCACGCTGTTTAAGGCAGTGCTGTAGGAGCTTTACAAATGTGAACTCATTTAATCCCTGTAACAGCCCCATTTTATGAATGGGGAAACCGAGACAGAGAGCTGAGGAAACCTGCCCAGGGTCACAGGGCTAGTAGGTGGTAGAATGGGGATTTGAACTCAGGAGAGTCTCACTCTGAACCACCACAGGTGATGGGGGAAAGGAGAAGGGCTGGGGCTGGGAGAGTTGTATCTTTGCATGGGGCCTGCTTTGAATCTATGTTTAGAGATTTTTCTCAGGGTCTGACAAGACTTTTTTTATTATTATTATTGTTATCTTACTAATTTTAACATTTACCTTCAGGCCTATTAAAAATCATTTTATTTTATTCTCTCCTTAGGTGGTGTTTGGAAACTAGACCATGTGCCTAGATCAAAGTGATTCTTTTCTCCACAGCGCTACACCCCCAGCGATGCTCACCACACCCCTGTTGTGAGAACCTCACTGAGGTATGATGTTTAGGCTGACCTGAGCTGCCCTGGAGAAACTGAGAGTTTGGACAAACGTAATTTTTTTATGTTCCTTGATAGTTGTTTGTTTTTTAATTGTGCTAAAACATGCATAGCAAAATTGACCATTTTAACTGTTTTTAAATGTACTCTTCAGTGGCATTAAGTACATTCACAATTGTACAATCATCCCCACCATCCATCTCCAGAACCTTTTCATCATCCCAAACTGAAACCCTGTACCCATTAAACAATAACTCCCTATTCTTTCTGCCCCTGACCCCTAGTAACAACCACCCTTCTACTTTCTGCCTCTGAATTTGGCTACTCCAGTTACTTCATATAAGTGAAATCACACAATATCTGTCCTTTTGTGTCTGGCTTATTTCACTTAAGCATAATGTCTTCAAGGTTCATTCATCCACGTTGTAGCATGTGTCAGAACTTCATTCCTTTTTAAGGCTGAATAATATTCCGTTGCATATTTAGATCGCATTTTGTTTATCCATTCATCCATTGATGGATACTTGGATTGCTTTCACATTTTGGGTATTGTGAATAATGCTGCTATGAACATGGGTGTACAGATACCTCTCCAAGACCCTGCTCTCATTTCTTTTGGGTATATACCCAGAAGTGGAATTGCTAGATCATATGGTAATTCTTTTTTTTTTTGAGGCGGATTGGCCCTGCGCTAACATCTGTTACCAGTCTTCCTCTTTTTCTTTTTTCTCCCTAAAGCCCCAGTACATAGTTGTATATCATAGTTACAGAGTTTTAGCTCTTCTTTGTGGGACACCACCTCAGCATGGCTTGATGAGTGGTACATAGGTCCGTGCCCAGGATCCAAACTGGTGAACCCCGGGCCATTGAAGCGGAACACATGAACCCAACTGCTTATGCCACTGGGCCAGCCCCCCATGTGGTAATTTGATGTTTAATTTTTTTTTTTTAGGAACTGCCATACTGTTTCCCATAGTGGCTACACCATTTTACATTCTTACCAGCAGTGCACAAGGATTCCAATTTCTCTACATCTTCACTAACACTTGTTCTTTTCTCTTCTTTTTTTTTTTGATAATAGCCATCCTAATGAGTGTGACCTTGGTGGTAATCTAGTTGGATCCACAGAGTCCACTAACCAAGAGTCTGGCCCCTATTGTGCTGAAATGTACAAATGTACAGAAAATAATATGATAAACCTCCATGTACTCCTTAACCAGATCCAACAGTCATCAATTCATGGCCAATCTTGTTTCATTTATATACACCCTCCCTGCTCTCTTCCTCCGGCCCTGTGGTATTTTGAGGCAAATCGCAGACATCACATCATTTTATCTGTAAGTGTTTCACCATGTGTCTTAAAAAGATAAAGACTTTTAATATTCCATTTTGTCTGATGGTAGACGGGCACATAGGGATGTTCCTGTGGACACTTTATTCCTACGTTCCCTTGGATCACCAGGGACATATACAGTGGGCAGACATGTAGACACCTGGATTTTGGATCCGTTGCCTTACTGGGTTCTTGGTGAAAAGCAGCCTTGGCTGGGGCCCTGCTTTCCTGCAGAAGGTGACTGCCCTTAGGTCTGAGCAGCCATGGTGAAAGAGCCCACCCAGATCTCTGTTGAGAGAGGAAGGAGAGAAGAGGAAGGAAGAAGAGGATGAGGAAGAGCATGGGAGGGGGGAGATAGAGGGAGGGAGGGGTGGGGGAGAGGGAGGAAGGAAGGAAGGAAGGAAGGAAGGAATAGTGGGAGAGAGAGGGATGAGAAGGAGAAGTGTGTGTGTGTGTGAGAGAGAGAGAGGGGGAGAGAAAGAGAAAGAGAAGGGGAGTGAGAGAGCAGAGCATCTGGGAGAGAAACTCTTTACCAGGCCCTTGACTCATCAGCTCCTAAACTCCTTAGTGATCTAAGGGGACCACAGAGATACCCCAAGACTAATAGCATGTTCCTTGTGTCTGTGTCTCCCCCACCCTGCAAACCTTTCAATTTTGGCGTCTTTGGACTGGAGTTCTTCTGTGATAGATGAGACTGGTGGCACACTCAGAGCCACCAAACATATGGGTATCAGAGATGGGAAAGAGTGACTTTGTGGAGTAGCTACTTTTTCTTTTCTGGGGCCCTTTTATTCAGGGAGTGGGGGCTTGGTTCCCACCAGGTCTGAGGCTACTGGCTTCTTCCTTAAATTTGGGGATCCCTACTACCAAGAGATGACATTTTCACAAAGTTCAGTGGGAGGGACTCCTCAGGGATGGTGTGTGAACAAGAGGAGTCCTGTCCCCCTTTTTTCTCCGTCTCTGGGTCCTGTTCCCCTCTAACACAGTGCAGTTCCCAGTTAGAGCTGAGATCTGTTTGCAAGTAATGAAAAGTAAAGGGGGTACAGGTTATAAAATATCAGTTTTATCTCAGTTCTCAGCTCTGTTTAAACTTTGATGCCCATACCTAGTTTCCACTTGTATCATCTCAGCTGTACAGTCCTGCATAATCCTAACTCCCTCCTGTTCTATCCCCCATTCTTTTTGTCTTTTTAAAAAATATAACAGCTTTATTGAGATATAATTCACATGACATATAGTTCACCCATTTAAAGTGCACAATTCAATGGTTTTTAGTATATTTGCCAAGCTATATCCCCGTTTCTTAAGACTCAGGACCCCCCTGTGCCCTCCTCTTCCCTGTGGTTCTCAGAGCTAGCCTTCTCTCTCCACTGATGTCACACTAATCCCATCCTCAAGACAGATGACTTTATTGTGGGGCACTTTATTCTAGGCACTTTCCAATGATAAAATATTTAACTTAATCAGCCCTGCAGGGGCCCAGGATTCATAGACAAGTGCTACTTCAGGTAGACTCCTTTCCACTGGCAAGGTCCCGTTGCCACTCGAGGTCTCTCTATTTATAAAAAGTTTGAAAAAGCTAAACACAAATAACGGTGCAAATTTGCCAACTGCTTGGTTGGTAATAAACTTGCTTAGGAATCTGTGACTATGCTTGATCAATCTTAGCTCTGGACAGATGAGCCTGTCAAATCATTCCCCCTTTCTAATGGTGGATTACCTTCCCATAAACATGCTGGAGCTTATAAACAGACAATAAAGAAGTGAGCAATTATATAATGTGTCAGGTGGTGGTAAGGGCTGTGAAGAAAAATAAAGCAGAGTAAAGGGGGCCAGCCCTGGTGGCCTAGTGGTTAAGTTTGGCATGCTCCACTTTGGTGGCCTGGGTTTGGTTCCTGGGCGCAGACCCACAACACTCATTTGTCAGTGGCCATGCTGTGGCGGCGGCTCACATACAAAAAGAGGAAGATTGGCAGCAGATGTTAGCTCAGGGTGACTCTTCCTCAGCAAAACAAAAAACACAAAACAGAGTAAAGGGACAGAGATGGATGGACAAGTCAGGGATTGGTGTCTTATGTACAGTGATTATAGAAGGCTCCTGACAAAGTGATATTTGAGTAAAGACCTGAAAGAAGTGAGGAATGAGCCCACAGAGATCTGAGGGGAAGAACATTCCAAGCAGAGGGAACAGTAAATGCAAAGGCTCTGAGCAGGAGCATGCCCAGCATAGTTGAGGAGCAATAAGGAGGCCTGGGCATGCCTGGAGCAAGCTGGGTGACAGGGAGAGGTGTGGGAGACAGAGGCAGTCTTTACCAGGCAGGCCGTGGTAAAGACTCGATTTTATGCTGTATGGCTTGGGATGGTGTTGAAGGGTTTTGAGGAGAGGAGGAACATGATCTGATGGATGTTTTAAAAGCAGCACCTTGCTGCTCTGTTGAGAATGAATAATAGAGGCAAGGGTGGAAGCAAGGAGACCAGTCAACAGGCTTTTGTGGGACTCCAGGAGAAAGACGATGATGGTTGGAGGTGGTGAGAAATGGTTGGGTTTGGGATATTTTGAGGGTAGATTCACAGGATTTGCTTATGGATTAGAAGAAGGATATGAAGGAAAGAGAGGACTCAAGGATGCCAAGATTTGGCCTGAGCAACTGGAAGGGTGGAGTTGTCATTACTGAAATGAGGAAGACTATAGGAGGAAATCAGGAGTTAGATTTTGGACATAATTAGGTTTGAGATACTTAATCAAGTCCAGAGTTGCGGGGATGCCAATTAATTAATAATTTAGTGAGTGCCTATTGAGGAGCTTATGAAATAGGAGAAGAGAGAACCTTTTACTGAAATAACTACAGTAAATGTAGAATATTATGCCACGAAGAGGAAGAAGTGAAACTAGAGGGAGCATTAGGGAGTGTGAGGTGACTTCTGATGAGGGCAGTCGGACAAAACCCTTCTCCCTTCCTTACCTCTGGGAATCCTGTGCCCTTGATGAGCCTTCAGTGGCACCCACAGATGGGTGGCTGCGGATGTTTTCAGTGGGTTGTGTGTGGGGACACTCAAGAGCAAGGTCTAGGCCTTCCCTTTTTCCTCAGTGCCAGACGTAAGTCTTGGTGTTTGGTAAATGTTTGATGGATGAACTTCTCCTTTCTGAGCCTCAGTTCTCCATGTGTAAAATGAAGAGGTTGACCTAGACCAGTGCACTGGAATCAACTGGGAGGCTTTAAAGAAAAATGCTGGGATCCATCCCAGACCTATTGAATCAGAATTTTCATGGTGGGAGCCTGGGCGTCTGTTTTAAAGTCACTCTGTGGGGCTGTCCCAGTGGTGCAGTAGTTAAGTGTGCGCGCTCCACTTCAGCAGCCCAGTGTTCGCAGGTTCGGATCCTGGGCACGCACCGACACACCACTTGTCAAGCCATGCTGTGGCAGCGTCCCATATAAAGTAGAGAAAGATGGGCACAGATGTTAGCCCAGGGTCAATCTTCCTCAGCAAAAAGAGGAGGATTGGCATCGGATGTTAGCTCAGGGCTGATCTTCCTCTCACACACACACACACACACACACACACACACACAAAAGTTACTCCCTGTGCTGCTCTTTTGCAGGCAGTCCAGCAGCAGTCTGCAGACAGGCATTTGGAAGCCACTGGACCAGATCATCTCTGAGGTCCCCTTCAGCTCTAACATCCTGTGAGTCTTGTTAGAATGCTTGCAATGTAATTCTGTTCTTGGGAAATGGGATTTTTGATTGGAGTGGAAGGGCCTGGAGAGGGGAGAGGAGAAGCTGCCTCTGGGTGGAGGGCGCCTTGGGCAGGGCAGGCAGGGGCATGGGCATCAGCCAGGGGTCTGGAGAAGCATTGAGGAAGGGTTCTGGGAGGGATGGGAGCAGTGATAGCTCCCTTGCCACTGGGAGCCGGTGTGTTAGGTCCTGGAAGTAGAGGTAAAGGACATGACTCCAATTTTGGAGAGGCTCAGACTAATGAGAGAACTCAACATCTCAGCCCACTGTGGGAAGTGCTGCCATAGAGGAAGACAGTCTTGGGTGTCAAGAGAAAATGGTGGAGGAGGGCAGAAGCCCAGTGTTGCAGCCCTCAGAGAAAGCATCCTGGAGGAGGGGACCCTGAAGCAGAAGCGTGTGGATGAGGAGCTCTCAGGCAGATTTGTGTTTGGTGCCAGAGTGGGGTGGGGCATCATTCTCTAGTCAGGGGGAACAGCTCAGGCCCTGACACAGGGGCATGAGAAAGTATGGGAGAACCACCAGCGAATGAAAGGTACCCTGGGAAGTGGCTGGAGAGGTGGACAGAGACCAGGTGGGAATGGATCCTCCAAGCTGAGTGAAGAATTTGAGCTCTATCCTGAAGGTGATGGGGATTTTGAACAGGGACATCTCTGTGATCAGATATGTGTTTTACAGCAACCGTTCTGGCAAGGTGTGCATTGGAGGGGCTAAGACTAAGATAGAGGAAAAGACAGGTAGAAAGATTTATTTTTTCATCTGGGTCCATTAGAGTACCTGTTTTCTTTATACTGCTGAGAATCTCTTTGGGCTGTTTTTTTTTTCAGTGAGGAAGGTTGGTCCTGAGCTAACATCTGTGCCCATCTTCCTCCATTTTGTATGTGGGTCAGCACCACAGCATTGCTTGATGAGTGGTTTAGGTCCACACCTGGGCTCTGAACTCAGGAACCCCGGGCCACCGAAGTGGAGTGTGCTGAACTTAACCACTATGCCACCAGGCCGGTCCCATCTCTTTGGGCTGTTTTTTTGCTAATGATTAGAATACCAGATGTCTCATGATATGAAACACTGGCCACCGACCAACTCAGGACGTCTGTGATTTGGGGTCACGTAGACCTATAAGCAGGCCTCAGATGTGTGTTCAGGAGGGCAGCAATGTATGGTAAGGAGTCTACTTTTCCACTTTAGGAGTTAAGTTTTATGTAGAAATCCAGTAGCTCTAGGTTAATTTGCCCAGCCATTGCAGCCCAGCCTGTTCAAGGACTTGAGATCCTTCCTGGGCAAGGTCTTCACACAGGTAATTGGTGACAGCATAGGCGTGAAATTCAGTTCTTGTGGTTCACAATTTCTCGTTCTTTTAGCTCTACCATTCCCAGTCTGGGGCTTCAGTCTGGGTTCAGGAACGTGGGACTCTTTTTTTTTTTTCTGTTTCCTTTGATCTGGCTAAAGTTTCACTGAGCTCCCTTCTCTGCCACCAATGGAAGCAGTGTTTCTCTTTGATCAATATTCCAGCCAGAGTCCAGACTAGAGCTCCTGCAGGTCACGGGAAGAGCAGCTTACCCTCAAGCTTGCTTGCTAATTCTTTTTCCTCTTGCCTACCTTCCAGTACGGGTGCAAAAGGAGAAGTTCCCCTACCTGGCAACCAACTCAAGTCCTTTCTTCTGGTGTCTGCTTCTACTCAGTAATTCTCTCTCTCTTTTTCTCTCTCTCTCTCACACACACTCACACTCACTCACACACACACACACACAGCTTGAGTTATTCTTTGCTCTCTTGTCTCCTGGGATGCTCCTTCTTCTAAAATAGAAAGCTGATGGGACCAGCCCCATGGCTTAGCGGTTAAGTGCGCGCGCTCTGCTGCTGGCGGCCTGGGTTCGGATCCCGGGCGAGCACCAACGCACTGCTTCTCCAGCCATGCTGAGGCCGTGTCCCACAGGCAGCAACTAGAAGGATGTGCAGCTATGACATGCAACTATGTACTGGGGCTTTGGGGGGAAAAAATAAATAAATAAATCTTTAAAAAAAAAAAAAAAAGAAAGCTGAGGGTAACTTTCATTTACCTATTTTTAAACTCTTAACCATTATAACAGTAATATCAATAT